TTTCAGTTACATCGGGCACAATGCGTTATTTCCTCGGACATTGTCAGTTATGCTACATTTTCCATTAATAATTGAAAATAGAAATCGATAACATCTAAATATTTCAAAACTGCAGCAAACTGTCTTCACTTTATACTACAAAATGGATATGTAACATGAGCATCAGAATAAAAATATTTAATATTTGTTTCATACCTACTCAACTACTATTTTTCAATTTTTTGGATACCTAATAGGTACATTTAAAAGAATGAAAATGGAGCTTGTAAGCAAAGCTTTACGTATGTTATTGTAACAGGATTATGAACCTTTACGAATAAAATATAATCGGAAATTATTTTTATGTGCCATATAAATTCTCTTTCTCGAACGGGCAAGTCGTTCTCACGTTTTCCCCGAGGATTCTCAGTGATTTGTTACTTACTGAGAGAGTAATTGTAGGCCTAGTTTAACCTCTTCCCTGATATTATTCTCACTTAACATCTACTTTTCCATTCGCGGGCTCGAGTGTTTTCGGATTCCTTCCACTTATTAGGGGCAATTAGGGAAAACGGGAAAACTCAATAGGCAAACTGATTGATTGTAAAGAAGCAAACCTTTTTACTTACTTTTTTCTCATTAATTCTATAATTCAGAAATCGAAAAGCCGTTTTTTATGACTAAACCAAAATTATTTGGAATTGTCCGAAAACTTTTTAATGAATTTTCCGTTCCGGATACGATTTTTCATATTTTATGAATTTAAGTGATGAGCGCATATCCCTCGCTTTAAAGCAGTATTTATTCGTAATTTGTACTGGAGATCAAAGTGAAAGCTTGGAATTTTGGTATTGAAAACTTATTCTTTAGGAAATTATTTTAATTTCCTCTTTTAATATTTATTTTATCCACCGTCATTGTACAAGGCGGCTTTATTCGGCGAGTAAAAACGGGATATTTCCAACATTTGCTTAGTCGAAAATTAGGTGTATTTCCATCCATCTAAAATTCTTTGATTTTCAATTTCACTTTCTGCGAGAATAAAATAAATAAAAACGAACTGGATGCGAGTGCAAACAGTTTTATCGTTGCTTTAGCAAATTCTTTCCAATCTGAAAAAATGTTTATGTTCATCCTTCTCTCCCTATTTCGGCGCAATTATTTTATCGGCTTAGGGGAAAACAGAAAATTGAAGATTCTGAAGAAATAAAGAAAATATTCCAATTGCAAATGCTTGGAGAACTTTTGTCGGGAATTTTCGAAGCCTTTGAAAAATTTCTGTACATAATTTAGTGTTTGTAAGAGATTGTAGTTTTTTCTTCGAAACATAAAAATGTGAATTTCCGACTAAGAGCATTATCTTAACTTCCTTTTTTAGGATTACTTTTTGAGATTTTTTTTGGGGCTTATTTTAAGGGATAATATGGAACAATTTTTACCGCTTTTCGTAAATCTCTCGGTGAATTATTTAACAGTATTTAGATGATTTTTAATTTACCAGCCCCAATATTTTTACTTCCTTTGAAAATCTTTTTTTTATTAAATTATTATTTTGAATAAAACCATTGAATCTTCAAAAGCTTTTTGTAGTGATTAATCAAACTTGCTATATATGTACATATATCATAAAAAATACAATAATATTGTAACAACAGTTCTTGTGAACTTCACATTCATTTCAAAATAAAATTTCAAAACTAATTACTCTTTCAACCAAATTTTAAACTGCTTCATATTTTTCATATGTGGATGGTTTTTCCAATATTAATGTGGATTATACGTTAAAACAACGAAATACATACATAAAAGAGTAAAATATAAAATATTTTTATCGTTAAACCGAATATTTAGGTACAAACATTTAGTAAAAAAAGAGAATTCACAATATTCACAGCATCAAATTAATTAAAAACCATCTTGGTGTATTTGTACTCGTGTATACAGCAATTTGTAGTACAAATATTTACTATTTTATTAAATAGATATTTCATTAAATAAGCGCCTATTAAATCTCAATCACTAATTATGAAAGCAAATACTTTTTTGAAAGTGTCAATTAATTAAAATGCTATTCGATTTAACAGTTAATTGTACCATAAAAACAAATAGATAATAGAGGTTTTTGATGACTTAAGCCCCTGATTGTATTTCAAAGAGGTATTAATTTCGAACCTAAGATGGGTACGAAACCCGAACGGGATAAAACCTGACAGGACACAAAAAAAAATATTATCGGAAAGCGGATCCTTAAATTAACGGAAAATACCTCTTCCTGACAACCGCGATCGCCGGGAGAGATTTATGCTCGGCAAGCCGTAGAAAATGTTGCCCGTTTAATGGGACTTTTGACCCAGATGGCCTTAGCATCGGTTCTAACGCACCGGACCGCTAACACCGTTTGCGTCATCCCCCGGGAGGCGGTAAAAACCGCCGTTCCGCGCCGGGGCGCTCGTAAATTCCTTCCAATTTTATTCATATTTACCGTCCAAATCGCACATGCACCGCAGATAATTGAAAAATACGAACCGCTGCCTTCATTTACCACCCTTTTCCCGTGTTATTTAGGCGAGTTTGCGACGATTAGGGTGCCAAATATCTAAGGCCCACCGCTCACGGAGCAACTGTTTTGAAATAAAGATTGCAATCTAGTTTAGTCTGTAACCAGTTTACAACTAATATTGAACTTCTGTACGCACACGGATGCGACTATTATAAAATAATTTCAATCAGTTGCCATAGTAATTTATCGAATGTCGAATGAATCACACCAGAAATTGGCAAGAATTTTAAGCAACTTGAAACTGCAAAGCGACTGCTACAGCGGGAAATGGTCGAGTACAACGGGTTTATGACTCGTTGCAAACTAGTTTCATTTGAATCGACTTGTGTGCGGTTCCACACTATTGTACATTGCCGAGGTTGCAAAATAGTTGCAAGATCAACTGCTTTAAAATTTTTATTTTAAAACAGTTGCTCCGTGAGCGGTCGGCCTAAAATTTCTAATATTAGGTCTGCCAATAGCATAATATTGAAAATTTAATAACCCTAATAGACTCTTTCAATAATATTTTTTAGAGTGAGTTTAAGAGTTATCCGAAGGTCGAACATTCAATGGGAACATTCAAAAGATGCAATACTATTTTTTAAATTTTAAGCTTTATTCTGTTTATTTTTGTACATGTATATATACTTGTATATGTTACTGATCGAAATCATTCTCAATAAAAATAATAGTCCATATTTATAATAACGAAGCATTTACTTTGAAGTAAGAGGTAGAGGCAAAAAATAAGAGGAAAAAGGTTCTTAAACGTTATACAAAGATTTTAAAACTATAAAACTATTTGTTTTATAGCAACAGCAGGGTCCTCGAAGCAAAATCTCTCTTTCTTTTCTTCTTTTTACGCATACATCTTAAAGCTATTCCTTCATTTTTTGAAGCAAAAGGTTGTGTTTCTTTTTATAAATACGGCCTATTATCAAGCAATGATTGACCGACTTTTAACTTCCGATTTTGGCAAATAAAACATCAGAGTAGTTAATCCATCGAGCACCTTAAAAGTTTGTTAATCTAGTGCATTTGAAAAAGGCAAAAGTAAAAGCTTTTTACGTCGTTTTTTCGGCGTATCGAATTCGCTAAATATCCTTCCCTTTGCCACTTGACGGCTTATCAGAGGCGAAAGGGAGTCATTTAAAAAGTAGTCTCTCGGCCTTGATTGATGGCGAGGCTTTCATATTGCGTACAGCAGTCGGTCGATCGGAAAAGTTGCAAAATCGGAAAATTGTTTCGCCGGGCAGCGAAATTAATTACGGGGAAGAATTTTCTGCTAGAGAGGACGAAAAGGTTTGCATGACGACCTTTCGTCGAGCTAAGTGGAACTTTCACAAAGGCGCTGAGGGAAATACATGCAGTTGATGGGACGTTTGATCGGCAAGCTCAGATACGGCGATTTCGTTAACCTTGTTTTGTTATTATATATAATTTTATTCATTCCCATTGTAGGGAATTTAACAACTTCTGCATCGATTTTCGCATATCCGCCTGCGCGTCGCTCGAACGAATTTTCCCCAATTCGATTTTCGTTGGCACTAAAAAATTAATACAAACAAAATTCTAATAAAGATTTCGTCGTTAGAGAGTATAAAACCCGGTCTTCCCAACTTTTTATCGCAAGTCATAAGCAGAGAACAATTGCCCCAAAGAAAATTATTACCATCCAGTCTCGTCTCCGTTTCACGTTTTTATTTTTCTCATTTCTCCTAAAAAAAAGCGAATACGGTATCCTTTTTATTGAACTCACTCCGGATGCTTGTCGCTAACAGCATACTAAGAGTCTTACTCCGGTTCGCTTTTAATGAGTCTTATTTTGACATTTTCATTATGAGAACTGCGGAGAACATCGCTGTTGGAAATAACTTGACGACGTAAGGAGTGTACATATCATTAGGGAGAACCCTCCTATACACGCTGTAGCTATATACGAACAAAAATGTAGAGTAAAAAGAGGCACAATTAAATCAATCGCCCCGATTACAACGCGTCATTAAATAGAAAAAAACGTACCCACTAAATTTGCCGTTCAACCCTGCGGAAAAATTTTTCCAGCCCATCACTGGCTCGCACGTACAACGTCCGTTGGGTTTTGGATGATTTGTTGACCGGAAAGGGTGAAATCATCAGGGTTGGTTTAACCTTTTGCCGGATCTCATTCAAACTTAAACAACCACTTTGCTCGGCCGCTTTCAAATGGAATCTCTCTCAAGGACATGGTAATTAAGTTACGGCCATTTTTGGCCTTCATCACGCTCAAAAATATGATTAAAGGAATAATTCCTATTTAACCCGTTTGACAAAAGTGAGCCAGATCAGCGTAGAAGGTCAATTAATAATATGTAGTTACAGATTATTTTTGGTTGTTTGAGATATTTCACAAGTAGGTACTCAACTTATCTTCAACTTCTCTTTTATCATAGAGATTAATTTTTTCGTTATAAATAACGTTGCACTCGAGTATACAAATCTTGTTGTAATTTATAAGCAACGATAATTTATTTAAAATGTTGTTAATAAATATAATTCTCGCTCTATTTGTTCAACTAAACGTACTATTTACTAATATAAATTTGATTACATAATTACCTATGTTTTTTTTTTAGTTTGCTGAAGATATTCTGGTCACAACTCCGCTGGGGACACTCAGAGGAAGAAAGGAATACTCCTTGAGAAAAAATGTATCGTTTTATTCATTTTTGGAAATTCCATTCGCCAAACCACCATTGGGCGAATTGAGATTCAAGGAACCCGAACCGTCCGGTCCATGGGAAGGAATATTCGACGCTACAACTCTCGGACAAAAAGTTTGCCTGCAAATCGCCACCTGGGGGAACTTTTCCGGACAAACCGAAGATTGCCTGTATTTGAACGTTTATACACCAAAGGTAGGCACTCATTCGAGTATTTCATGCAATTGAGCTACATATTGTTGGTTTCACCAGTTCCCATCCAAAAATGCTTCATATCCAGTGTTATTCTATATATACGGAGGGGGATTCAACTCCGGTTATTCCGGTTTCTGGTCGGCCGGACCGCACTACATCATGGAAAGCGAAGTCGTCGTGGTGACGGCCACTTACAGGGTAGGTCCGTTCGGTTTTCTGTCAACAGGCGATACTGTGATACCGGGAAACTACGGTCTCAAAGACCAAAATCTAGCGCTTCAGTGGGTCAGAGACAACATTCAATATTTCGGCGGCAATCCCGAGCAAGTGACTATTATGGGCGGCAGTGCCGGTGCTGCTTCTGTCACTTATCACTACTTAAGTGAAAAATCTAGAGGTGAGAAAATTTCTTAGCATCACCTATACAGCGAATAGGACAATCAGAAATCCTTTGGATTATATTAAGCTATTTATTTTCAGGTTTATTTAGAGGAGGTATTGCCAACAGCGGCTCGCTATTATGCCCGTGGAGCTACCAAGATCAAGCCAAATTACTAGCATACCAACTAGCCACTAATATCGAACCTAGCTTTAATCAAAACGCTTCGACTGAAGAACTACTGGCGTTTCTGAGAAGCCGAACCGGCGATGAGATCGTTAAAGCTGCTCAAAAGATTCCGGTAATTCCTGGCTGATGCTAAAAAATGCGATCACATAAAGGCGTTGTTGAATTTTTATGTTTAGGACACCGTAGGAAACGAGGAAATCGTGCAAGGCTTTTTCTGGACTCCGGTTATCGAACCCCAACATAAAAATGCTTTCATTACCGAAGGGATGTATACGGCCGTGGAGCAAGGGCGGCTGGCTAAACTGCCCCTTTTGATTGGGATTAATTCCGAGGAAGCTCTCTATCGAATTACAGGTGAAGAATCTAATCAAAAATATACTACTAACTTACTTTTGTTAGTTGCTACTATTAATATTGGAATCATTTTTCTGTTTTTTAGATAGTTATTTGTTATATAACGTTAAAGGATACGATGCAAATGTATCAGCTTTGGTTACTAGAGATATGCACATCAATGATCCAACTGTATTGGAAGAAACTGGAACAGAAATAAGGCGAATTTACACCCAAGGCTTGTTACAAGATAATTTAGCAAACGCCATTCGAGTGAGTTAATTCCAGTTAATTATCAGTAGATCAATAAATTTTGTTTTAGTTTTATAGTGATACATCGTTCACCAGACCCATAATCAGAACAGCGTTTTTACAATCCAAATACAGTCCAGTGTACTTCTATCAATTTTCCTACGAAGGCAAATTAGGCGGTAGTTTACCGCCCCTTCCAGGTAAATACATTCGAAATCGAACCGTGTTCATTTTAACGAATTCTAAATGTATTTAGGAGCCGATAGAGTTCAACATTCGGCTGAAGGAAATTACGTCTTTTGTTACGGCAATTCATCTAACCTCGACGCCTATCCAGCGCTCGACGTCCTAACCAGCGAACGATTCCGAACTTTGCTAATAAATTTCGTCAAATACCAGTGAGTTCTCGAATTGCACCATACATAATATATAAATCCGATTCCATCACAAACATCGTTCATCATAAATTTTAATCGACCTTTCATTCGTCATATTTACCGTTTGTTTGTTCTACAGAAATCCTACTCCGCAACAAATCGAACTTCTGAATAACGTCACTTGGCCGGCATTCAAACCGAACGACTTCAAATATTTGAACATAAATACCACATTAACCGTCGAAACCAACCCGAAAAACTCCACCTACCCCGAATGGGTGAAACTTTTCGATGAAAGAGCCGTCCCACCGCTCATTACTTATTAGAATATTTCTATTGCAACTTTATCAAGCGTAAATTTAATAAAATTATTTCATCAAATATACATTTTATTACTAACTGACTGACTCAATAACTCAGTCAAATATGCCTAAACATACGGTTAAAAAAATGTAGGTAATATTTTTCCGATGAAATTTTTGCACCTTCCACTTGGTACAGTACAGGTAAAAAACATTCTTCTCTTTGGAAATCAAAAAAAAAACATACACTTCAACAATACAATCTCGATGTGAAATTCACTTCACGAAATTCATCTCCTTTATCGCATCTTTCGCGCACCGTACGAGATATATCAATTTCCTGCGAACACCTGTTATATAACGATTCGCTTATATACCTATCTCGTTTCCGTTTGGAAGGCGAGAGCTTTTACTTGGCGCGGAATTTCCCGAATAGAAACGAGAATGCTAATTATCGTCGGAGTTCTAAAAACTTTCCAGATTTATAGATGTTGTAGAGGGGACTTTGGTTCGAAATTCGCCCGTTCGCTCGAGGGATTAATAAAAAACCAAGTCGGAGCGAAATTGTCGCTTTTGAAAAAAAAAATAAGGATTAATAACAACTGGAATATAATAGTTCCTTTGCGTGTTGTTAATGACAGGTAAGCTTGGTGTTTAGGATTCTACGTTTTCGGGCAATGGAAGGAAATTTTGTGGAGGAGACAGGCCGGTGCCTGTTATCGCAAATAGCAAGAACATTTATCTGGCGAGAAAATATATTCATGGTTTTTATGACACCCTTTCTGCTTATTTATCATTCCTAAAGGAAACTAGAATAACCAATTTACATATTATGTAACCTAAACAATTTTTATGTCTATTAAAACATAAAAAACACCAGTATTAAATTATTAGATTTCGAATTCAAGTAAATTTAGAAACTAATAGTACCTATAATATACTTGGTTAATATAGCTAGATTATAATTAAATCAATTTCCAAACTCATTCTATTCTCCAAATAATTAAACTCGATTAAAAACTAACAGTAATAATACATTAATCGCAAATATTTGAACAGGAATTACTAGTACGCTCCCTATAATTAAAATCGACGTATTTAATTATGTTCAACCATAATATTTTATCAATGGCATTACTAACTCTGTAGTAAACACATGAATTCAAAAACCAAACTATATCAGGCTAATTTATTATATTATTTACCTATTTTTCTCGACATACAACTGACTAAAATAGTACTTAAGTTACAGTTGTTGGTTACATAATAATATCTTCTATAAAATGTGAAATGCACGGCATAGAAAAACTTCCAATAATGGTCTAGATATTGCTAATGCACTATAGGTATAAAATTGTGCATTATAAATGTAGTAATAACTAATTTATCATCACTACTTAAGAGCATGTATATGCTTATAGGAGCTTCTAGCTCTAGTATAATATTAAATAAATAATTCGTTTACATTTAAAGTGAGTGTACTCCTGAAAATAATTTATCAAAGAGACACGATCCCTTATTAAATTTTCAAAACATCATCTTACTACTTCCATTCGTCCGTGTACAGTCTACCTGTAACGTAAAGAAGAAAAATCGAAGTCCTGCAGAAAACTTGTTTGGAAAATTGTTGTGAAAAGTTTTCCTTTTAGCTCGAATGATTCATCGAATTTCTGAGTAAAGATTATTTTAAAACGCGCCTTTTTCACTTTTATCAAATTACTCCGTCCAAAAAACTTTATTTAATAATCGAAATGAGCCGTTCGGGAATTGGAAAAGTTAGTATAAGTAAAATTTCGGCGGTATTTTGCCGATAAAGAAGAATTCTTGGCGAAAGTACGTCGGTAAAGAAAAGAACTCCTTTGGGTCAATGCGCAATCATGTTTCTTTAAAGAGGAAAAATATTGTATTGTCGACAAACTCTTTGATTACTTCTGTATGAAATGAAGGTTTATTTTCTAAGCGAGTTTCATGGAAAGGATTTTCGTTTTGCTGTTCATAAAATGTAATAAGAGTAAAAGCAGAAATACGACAACAAAGTAAAAAAACATATAAATGTAGAAGTTAAAAGTCGAATTTCGTTAAGTTTATTACATTTTGAAGGATCTCGAATAAAGTTAGAAATTCCAACTTTCCGGGTAAAATATTATTCTTATCATAGTTTTTATTGATGTAAGCGGAAATATATATCTTGAGCTTTGACGTCGTCTGACCGTACGTGGATCAGAATCCGGAATTGATGGATTTGTTTATTTTCTTTCATATGGTTCAGTTTTTGTAGTTCGACGTTCTCCGGAATAAAATATGATATTATTGGAAGAAAACCACGACAGTGGAGGTAATTTAATTTGAAAGTCCCACAAATTTTCTTCTAGTTTAGTTATATCTATACTCCAATTTTATTTGTTTTCCATTCTAACACGTGGAAACGTGTATTAACTACCACGAAAATCGTGCACACCTCCGTAGGTAATAATAAATTCTGTTCGTGCAAATACCGAAATTCGGAATATCGTTACATAAACAAATTATGTCGGTTTTTGTGTATATATTCTCCTTTGCGTTCTGATATGTTCCCAATGAATGTTAATCAAACAATAAAATAAAATTTGTTATACACCCATACATGTAGGTATTTACGTGCACACTCACGTGTAAATTCGCACGGTTTATTTACAAAGTGTTCATTTTCAGCTGACACTTCGACATCATAATGCATAATATCTCGGCTACATTTTGTACAAAAATATATCATTGTACTGTTGTCCCAAAACATCATCCACTTTTTACGTATGTGGTATGTGAATAGAACAATAAAATTTTAAAAATCCTGCAGATTCATCATACATCATTCGCATACGCTTCCATCAAAACCTAATTATCCATTAAATTCGACATTTAATTCGTTTTACTTGCCATTATCGAAGTGCATTTTATGGAAGATACTTTTTGTTACTCGCATCACGGTATCACATCACCAAAAGTGTATAATAACATGTACTCCCCAGACAAAGCAGGCGACGCCCTACTTTGATATTTTACTTAGCAGTTTACGTTTTCTCATATAAAAATAAGGAAGCGAATAATATTCGCCTACCTAGTTTTATGTACCGAGTGCTAAAAGCATTCGAATCGATGGGGTTTAATGCAATTTTTAAAAAGCGTCCTTGTCGAATTCCCTTTGCATAACTTAATAACGATGCGGCTGTAACGAGAGCATCCACTTAGTTAAAGAGATTAATAATTATTGAATTACGTCAATTGATGGTAAACACTTATGACAATTTTCGAGTGGGAACTGTTGATCTCAAATTTAGCTACTAATATACATTCTGTAACATCACGCTTCACTTCGATATCATAGATAAATTATTAGTGGAGTAATTGAAATATATTTATACAAATTAGTACGTAGAAAAACATTCTATTAATATTTTTATTGGGTGCATTTACATTTTATATTTTCATAACAGGCATTGTTACCTTATACCGGCCGTAATAAAAGCGACGTGTTACTGATAGAAATAAAAAACGGTGTTAAAGTTCTGCTTTAGTTCGAAACTTTGCAGATATTTTTTGTACTGTGTTCCGGAAAACGGAACCGTAATATCCAGAACGGCCACACTTGTGTCTGACAATACAACGGTGATGGATAGAAAAATAAAAATCAACGCTTCGCAGATAAGGGACTTTTTCCTAGATATAAATTAGCGAGAGTTTATAGCATTGCTTTAGTTTGACAACTGAAATAAATAAATAAACACCTACTTAAAAATAACTGGTAAAATACCAACCAATCTCCTGGTGACGAATGCGTAATTAAAATAAATTAAATAAGGTTAGCGTTTTATTGAAATCTCCTGCTATGCAAACGGCGAAAATCCGAACCCTCGTGCGACAAGGCCGCTAATCCAGGTCGGTATGCAAATTCATCTGATGACCAGGAAAGTGAGTTAATCGAACATTATTCGCCACTTCCTATTACACTACGGCCGACGTTGTAAAACGGCTATTTATAATGTAAACTGAGCTTGGCAACGAAATTTCCATTTCAAAGTGAACGGAAAACTCATCTATTGGCCAGAAGGAGCATTCCCTCGAGGACATTGTGTATAAACGAACATCAGTTATCGGGTTAAAAACAATAGTGAACTGTGAGCGATTCGTTTTTTTACTTTTGCTCTTACCCCGTACAATTCGCTCACATGCGCGTTTTATTAAATCATCGTTTCGAATAATTCAAGGATATTAGAATTCAATCGATGCGACGTTATGAAATTTTAAACTACATAAACGGCACCTGCTCTATTTCTGTCTAAAGACGACGAATTGGCATTGAAAACACGAAAATTATAAATGATCATAGAGTACGGAAAATTAGAAATAATCATGTAATGTATACGATATACCTAGCACTCTAAAGGCAGCAATTGTTTGCCACCATATAATTTACCTCGAGCACAAAATTCCTACTTTCATTACACTACTTTTTTTAGCGACATTAACGACACTTCCCTCAAGAATAAATGTATAGAAACTTCAAAAAAATTAGTTACCATTCTCTGGACAATCTACTTAGCAGGTGACGGTGCCCTTTGTAAAAGTTTTGCAGAAGTGCGATCGCTACCGGATAAAAGAAAGTCATTGTGCAGTTTAATATTCCGCTCGCGTTGTTGTACAGAAAATAGGGAGTGGCAGGGGTCGGTCGAAACGTATGAGAAAATTCACGTACTTCCCTTTTTTCGCGGATTGCAGGGACGTAGTCGCGTGATTATGTCGTTATTCGGTTAGTTATCTCGACGAATTTTCACCCGGAAGAATTTTCCGGATGACGTTAGAGCGTTTACCTAGATAATTTTATGTACCTTAACAGACCAGTAGTTTTTAAAGAAATTGATAGTTAGAAAATAACTTTAAACAAAAATTAATATTCAAAAGTTCATAACAATAATTTCATCCTATTAGTTGATAAAAGTAAGACCTGTTAATTACTTTAGTTAACAATTCGTGTTTAATTTATTTTTCTTTTATCGTTAATAAATCCATTTAGTTGTGTATAAATACCCATAGAAAATAATAGTAAAAATTTATCCAAAATGAGTCTCTTACTAAAATTATTGTTAGTGACCCTAGTTTGGGTTCAAGAAAGGTAACTTAATTTTCAACTTTTATTATTTTTAGCCTAACACTAGATAGAATATTTCGTAAAACCTTAACGACATTAAAAAGCGAACTCGATAAATTTATTATATTCTTTTTAACGTCACTTTTCAAACCCAATACCGTGTAAATTGATTTCCATTCGCAATTTAGTAGAGATAAAAAAGGTTTAAGGAAATCACTTGGACTTATTACATTTCCATTTCTTCCCTACTTTGATTTTACGTTCGTTTGAATGCCCAATAAATAGCTTTATCGGAACATATATCCCATTTTTATTGCATATAAAATCCCTCCGGTTATTTTCAAACTCTTAAATTAAATTATTTCGCAATAGAAACGAACCGGTGCTTACAATTATTTCATTTACCGTTATTAGTTTTAGTAAACCTCACGACCCGTTGATGCCAATACCGCTACCGGAATACCACGGAATATTCCCGTATGAATTTTCGTTTGGAACATCAGGAGGGGCGTTCGAACACGAAGGGGCATGGCTTGAAGACAACAAAGGTGAAAGTATATGGGATCATTGGGTGCACGAAAATCCTAACGTGACAGTAGATAATGGTAACGGCGATGTATCAGCAGACAGTTACAATCACGTCAATGACGATGTCGATCTGTTGAATAATTTAGGAGTCAATCACTTTGTATTTTCCATCTCATGGGGTAGGATTATACCTGCAGGTAAATGAGGAATTGTAAGGAGAAGAGTTAATGTTTAATTACTTGTAATTTATAGGTGAAGGTGATATAAACATGTTAGGTATTAATCACTACAAAAAACTCATCAAAAAACTGAGACGCAAACAAATAGAACCAATAGTTTTTCTTTATGTTGGAGACTTACCTCAAGCCCTCGAAGACAGAGGCGGGTTCTTGAGCGACGAATTCCCTATTTGGTTTAGAGAATACGCGAGAGTAGCTTTCCAACATTTTGGAGACGATGTAGAGTATTGGCTAACATTCAACAATCCAACATCGCAATGCAGCGAAGGTTACGGGGATGGTACTTATCCACCGGGAGTCACCAGCAATCCGGGGGTAAACGAATATATTTGCGGGCATAATCTTCTGAAAGCTCACGCAAACGCCTATCACCTCTACGAGGATATATTCAAACCGACCCAACAAGGTTTTATACTCATAGAAATCATGCACAATAATTATGATAATTACTAAAATTTCAGGTAAGATATCAATTGGTATAAACATTCCTTGGTTTCAACCGAAAACTAGATTCGATGAAGACATCGAAGCTGTTGCAACGAGATATCAATTCCACGTGAGTGCAATCTATAACGCGACTAACAGCGTTTGAATAAAAAAAAAAACATTATGCAGGCGGGATGGTTCGCACATCCGATCTACAAAGGCGACTACCCCGATGTGATGATCGAGAGAGTAGGCAAACTTTCCCAACTGGGAGGTTTCTCTGAGTCCAGATTGCCGAAATTTACGAGGAAAGATATTAGGTGGATTAAAGGTACGAGCGATTTCTTCGCTTTCGGTTACTTCATGGGTTTCTACGTTCGCGCCAATTCCAATGAAATTCCCTTACCGCCATCGTTCGGCAACGATGCCGGAAGCAAAATTAAGCTAATGAATAGTGTAAGTATAGTTAATTGAATAAAAGCGGATAGATAATATGCCATTCACAAAGCATCATACTAGTTTAATGAACAAATTTAATTAACTAGAAGTAAATTTAGTCATATATCTAAGATTACTTTTCATCCTCATTACTTTTCAAGGATGTCGCTGATGGTATAAGAAACGTGATTTCATGGATTCAAAACGAATATGATAATCCCTGGCTTTTCATTACTCATAATGGATATCAGTCGTTTAATAGAACTTTGGATGATACCGATAGAATCGATTATATCAAAGTAAGTCTATTAAAAAACAAAATTGGATGTCCCAAAAGTGCACATCTCAATTAATACATAAATTCATTTTGTTTTTTTCGACATTTTAGAGCATTTTAATAAATCTTCAATACGCAATAGAAGGCGACGGGGCCAGAATATTTGGTTACACGCATCATTCATACATTGATGGCTTCGTAAGAAGATTTGGATACACGTGAGTACTAAACTATAACGAATTTACTCAAGAATACCTACTGAATCTAATAATTTTTTAAGGTTAAAATACGGCCTAATTGATGTTGATTTCAATGATCCATGTAGAACAAGAACACCCAGACTGTCTGCGGATTATTATCGGCACGTGTGCACGTATGGATGCATAGACTATCCATGTCCACCCTTCTATTATCAACAGTTCGAAATAAATCTGAATATTGATTCATGTTTGATAATAAATTCATAATTTTGGACAATGTAAAAATATGAACTATTAAAGCCGATTGTTTTCATTCACTGTTTTAATATCATAAGATGTTACATACAATTAATTTAATAGTGTGTATTATTCAATGTTGAACCCTATCAGAACCTAAATAAAAAATATACAAGAAAAATAATTTTATTATTTTACCATGGATAAAAATTTACTAAAGTTCATACCTCATTAGGTACACATAAAACATTTTTTGAGAAAATAAATGGGTTTGCCATGAGTTTTCACCCTGACTTTTATTGATTCCTGGTTTCTGAATACTTACATTTAATTAAAACTTCTCTAAATAAATTAATTTTCTATCATCGATATCTCTAAACTTGGAATTTCTTTAGTACCTACGCCTACTCAATTGATATTTCGATTTCGTATTGCCCATATTAAGTAAATCTCTTGTTATCTTCACAAAACTTCTAGTCATTGTTGTTAAGGTATGTTTTTTAATTTAATTTATTTGAAATTATTTTTAAATTTTTCCCAAAATTTTCAAAAATTGAATACTTTTTGAAGTGCTATTCAAACTGCAGATAAGGAAGCATTTAAATGGTAGAGCAACATAAGCTCTAATAAAACTAATAACAAATTAATATTCATTAATTTAAATTACTCAAAATTTCTACTTAGATATAAATTTTACAATTTTTTATTAATTATAGTTCCCTAGAGTCATTTAGAAAAATTTTTATGGCCACGTGTAGTAGAAAGTGCAAAATCCACATTTTAGAATTTAGAGCATATGTATAATAGTCTTAATCAACATTAAAAATTTATAAATCTTATCATCGTTTAATAAATTGTTAAAAAAGTAAGAGAGCGTGTTTAATCTATTGAATTTCCCGAACATTGTTAATAGTCGTTAACAAAAAAGTGTTTAAATACAGGGAATTTGGTAATCCATAGCTAATTAACACAATAATGGTGCTTTCACAGTTCCACAAATTTGTCGTTCTGGCATTGGTGGTAAAAGTAAGGTAAGAATATTGCATCAAATATCATTTAAAAAAACAATTTTTGTGAATAAAATAAAATCTAAAATTCAAGTTCAATTTTAGTTATGGAACGCCACGCATTCCGGACACAGACCCAATTTTTCACGATGTATTTCCGCAATATTTTTCTTTCGGAGTGTCTACAGGAGCTTACCATCATGAGGGTAAACATTCGCAATAATATAAACTCTACAAATTTAAAAATATCTCTTTTTATAGGAGCATGGAACGACGATGGCAAAGGCTTGAGCATTTGGGATTACTGGGTACATAACAATCCTTACGCTGTTGTTGACGGATCTAATGGTGATATAGCCTCGGATGCTTACCATCATATAGAGGAAGACGTAAAAATTCTAGACCATTTAAATGTCAGACATTACAAATTCTCTCTGTCCTGGTCAAGAATACTTCCAAATGGTAACACTTAATTTTTTCGATTTTTATAAACTTCTTATTAAATTGTAAATTATTTAGGTACTGGAGATATTAACAGGGAAGGTATCAAACACTATCAGAAGCTATTAAAACTACTAAACAAAAAGCACATCGAGCCGATCGTTTGCCTTTACAACTCCGATCTTCCTCAAGCCCTCGAAGACCAAGGAGGCTTCCTCAACGACAATTTCCCGTTGTGGTTCTTGGAATACGCCAACGTAGCGTTTGACAATTTCGGACCAAACGTAAAATACTGGTTAACGTTTAGCAGTCCCACGGAAATTTGCAGCTTGGGTTACGGAGAAGGATCCATTGCACCAGGTGTCAGCAACGGTCCCGGCGTCAACGACTACATTTGCGGACACAATCTACTCAAAGCTCATGCGGAAGCTTACCACTTGTACGACGAGGTTTACAGGAGTTCCCAAGACGGTAAAATCGCGATAGATATTAACTCCGTGTGGTTCGAGCCGGCCTCAGAGAGCCAATGTGACATCGATGCAGCTGAGAGAAGACAGCAATTCCAAGTAAATTTTATCTCATACACAATTTTGTGCGTACCTACTTAAATTATATAATATATTAATTCCAGATTGGTTGGTTCGCCCATCCCATTTACGTTGGTGATTATCCTCCGCTCATGATAGAAACCATCGGGCAGTTATCAGAATCGCAAGGGTTCTACGATTCGAGATTGCCGAGATTTACGAGGAAAGAAATCCAGTGGATCAAAGATACGCACGATTTCTTTGCACTTAGCTACTTCAAAACTATGTTAGTGACGGATAATGAAGACCAATATTATTTATCGTCGCCTTCCTACTACAGTGATACTAAGGCTGATGCCGTATTTTACTTGGGGGTGAGTAAATAAGTAAGAATTCGCCCGTAGAGGAGGTGTCATTGTGTTTTTTTTATTCTAGGATGACACCTGGGGAATTAAAAAGGTCATCCTGTGGGTTCAAAAGCAGTACTCAAATCCTTCAATATTCATCGTGAATAACGGCTACGTATCTGACGATTGTACGACGGAGGATTACGATAGAATTGAGTATATTAAAGTAAGTTATTTTTTGATCCAAAAAAACGGGAAACGAAAATATAAAAGCAATTTATTCTTCATGAATTATTAATGGAGAAAAAGTTTTCGATAGAATAGATCTTTCCAATTTGGTATAGCTGTGATAGATTATTTTTAGATTGTTTTATTTCTAAAAGTGGGTAATATTTAATGTTTTATTTCAGAAAATACTGATCCATATTAGATCGGCTATGGTTAATTACGGCGCACGTGTATACGGCTACACTCATTATTCCATATACGACGGCTTCGAATGGACATTGGGTTACACGTAAGTGTATATAATTTAAAATTCGAATATAATTCTATTTTTAAATCAAACCATTCTATAGGGTAAAACTAGGATTGTACGCCATCGATTTCAATAGCCCGATGAGAACTAGAACGCCAAGAATATCAGCTGATTATTACCAAAATCTATGCAGATACGGATGCATTGATTATCCATGCCCTCCTCGTTATACTGTTTAAAATAATTGAAATAATTCAATTAATGTAATTATCTTTACCTACAGCATGTAATGAAACAGTTTTAATGAAATTAATCAAGTACACTGAATTGTTTGTTTTCAATTATCACATGATGTGTAAAAATATGACCCTATAAATTCATTTCAATCCTTCCAATATATTTATTTATATTCACCCCCTATACATATCTTCATAATGAAAGATTTAATTCTACGCACCTGCTACAGCATCAACTCCGAAGTTGTACAATTGTTGGAGTCGTTTCGACTGAATTTAACCGGCGCTATTCCTGTCAAAATCAATCATTTTTCCCGATACAGCGGCATCAAGGCGAAGTGTAATTATTGATAAAATTGGACGTTCCTCTCGCTCGGTAAATTAATGATAGGAGAATATAGTAATTCTCTCAACGGCCGGTCGACCATTTGCAATTTTAATAACTCATTTCCGAGCGCCTCTCTTAGATTTAGCTAGCCTATAGTGTTGTTCGGTTGGCTTTATGTAAATGCGTTCGAGGCGATAAGACGCGGACATTAATGAATTTCGACGGTGGGTATCATCATTATTCATAGAAGATCGTTCAATAGCTTCGGCTTATAATAGAGATGCTTTCCTAATAAGGATATAATGACGCAATTAGATACTGCGGAATAGCTTCCTACAAGAATGATCGGCATCCATTAGTTTTCGCGCAAAACGCCCGCCGTTTTACAAACTATTAATAACCTAGATCGATAACTAACTTTTTCGAGTGCTTTTAAAACATTTTACAAGTTAGTAGTAACGAACGATGAGTGGCACATTAGTATGGAAAAGCTCAATATATCTGTTATTGTAGAAGATATCAACAAAACTTCATTACAAAAGTTGTAGATCTTTTTAAGCTGCATGTTTTAAAATTAGTTACATTTATACAGAGTGTCCCGTTTTTCCGTAGTAGATCAAACATATACTTTTTTAAATGGAACACCCTGTTTTTTATTTAAAAATTGAATTAGGCTCGTTTTCAGCTTTCCAAAAATATAATTTTGTGTAACGTTATACTGAGTGGTTTAAAAGTTATGACCACTTTTCCAGGAAAATCGTACTAAGTTTACCACTCTGTAGAAACTAAATGAATTGAATTGAAATTAAATTTCAGGTTTTACAATATTGCAAATATCCTGAAAATGTACAAAATGAATATTTTTTGACAATTTTAATCATACTGCTTACAGGGTGGATCCAAACGCAAAAGTAACATTTTCTCTGTTAATTTAAATGGATCGCCCTATATTTTATATCGTTAACAGGAAGTATTTTTGAAGTACTTTCATTTCACTTCACATCACTTCACTTTTCGAGATATTTCAATTAAAAAAAATTGGAAATTAAAATTGAAGAAAAAAAATTTAATTAATTCTTTTTTATAATAACCGAAGTTCTGGTAAAAATTGTCTATACCTAATAAACCTTCCCTGTACCTAAATTTGATATTTTTCGAGATATTTCAATATTCTTTAATTGGACTCACCTATCACCAGATACTAATCGCTAATCGTGTAGGTACTAATAACTTTATTGTATCTATTGGGACTTATAACAATTGCTAATACCAATTATTAATAATAATTTGGTCCATTTTGCTCGTTTAGAATAGTTTTTTTAGTGTTAACTTTAGGCATAGGGAATGGTTATTAAGAATGAAAGTACTTCAAAAATACTTCCTTTTAACGATATAAAATATAGGGTGATCCATTTAAATTAACAGAAAAAATGTTACTTTTGCGTTTGGATCCACCCTGTAAGCAGTATGATTAAAATTGACAAAAAATATTCATTATGTACATTTTCAGGATATTTGCAACATTGTAAAACCTGAAATTTATTTTCAATTCAATTCATTTAGTTTCTACAGAGTGGTAAACTTAGTACGATTTTCGTGGAAAAGTGCAGGTCATAACTTTTAAACCACTCAGTATAACGTTATACAAAATAATATTTTTGGAAAGCTGAAAACGAGCTTAATTCAATTTTTAAATAAAAAACAGGGTGATCCATTTAAAAAAGTATAAGTTTGATCTACTACGGAAAAACGGGTTACTCTGTATAAAGTTACTAATTTTAAAACATGCAGCTTAAAAAGATCTACAACTTTTGTAATGATTTTTTTTATATCTTCTATAATAACAGATATATATTGAGCTTTTCCATACTAATGTGCCACCCTGTTTGTAATATGCTAATACGGCCTAATTAATTCGAAATTTTTGAGTGAAAATTAACTTCCGCTGGCACAGGAATAGCACGTCTTAAGAAGTTAGGGCCACATCCTCGATCGACTGTAATCGCATTAAAAGAGATTACGCGGAATGTTAGGTTGCATGCGGTCCGTACATTCCGGCGGATCGGCGTTTTAGGAAATTGAATCGTACGGTGTCAAGTTTCTACATAGCATGACTGCGTACCAAATTGATAATGGCTGAAATTTCAACGCTCAACCGCTTATAATTTCCACGATACCGAGATAACACGAAATTAACACCGGGTAATACAATAACGCACGTGTTAATTGATCTATTTCCATTAAAAATACGTTAAAAAGTAGGTAACCGATGGTTAAAAGAGATAAACTACAAACTCGTTAAATAAAATAGGTAAAATAATATTCCTTGATTAGCTAATATTGCAATAGAAATTACAGTCAACCCTTAATAATTCCCTCCCTAACTTTGTTTGTTTAGATTAAATTTATCTAATTTTAACTCTACAACACAACCTAAACATTTTCCAGACCTATACAAGCACAAAACTTCCGCAATGTAAACAACATTTACACAAAATAGGACCAATTTATCTGAATTTCGCGTTCTACAGCGCCGAATCTAACATAAATTTTTCATGATGATCAACAACCATCCCAGTCACCAAACGATACATCTTTCCAGTAATTCGGCTCCTTCCCGGCCCTCTTTCGCAATCGCGAATAATTCTCGTCTTCGTACGGCCTTATATTGAAGTTAATGGTTCGAAAACTGAACTAAGAATTCAGTTTCTATGTAGCTGGTAAATGCTCGGCTTAACAGTGCGTCACAATTCAGCCCTCATTCTGTTTGCTCTATTCATGACGCTCTGGGAATGGTCTGATCGTCGCTTGATGTGCTTAGAGAAAAGGCCATTCATCTCGGGAAATTTTCGACAATATATTATTGTTGCAACAATGCACGGATACAAAGTTTGTTCATTTTTATGCAAATAAGCCGAAAGAAATGGATGAATAAATTAATGTTGTTTATTAGCTTCCGAATTCACGTTTCTTCTAATTTCCATTCCATTAAATTGTCTTATCATGACCCATTTTTTATTACATACTAATACTTTTGGGTGTATTAATCAATCTACACTACCTCTCACTGTCTACACATAATATTTTATTACAGTAAACTTTTTTTCTTTCACTTTACTGCATAGGAACAAAATATGATACTGTACCTTCCTATATTGGAACATCGGCAATGCAGAATTTCACCTTAATCCTGTCTGTTATTAGCCTGCGTCACGTTGATTTATCTGGATAGCAAGGACAGCCAGAAATTAATTAAATCCAGATAATAGTTTTACGACTTTCTCGACTCGACCGCCGAATCTGGGTTATTGTATTCAGACAGCCCAAATGAAATTTCCAGAATTTGTAGAGGGTACCAACGGTAATTCTTGTTTATTGTTCTAATTCGTTTCGGCCATTGTGGTGTAGAGGATTACATGTAAACTTCAAATGCTTAGAAAATGTTAGTTTTTTATGGAGATTTTTTTATAAGCTAGACGTAGCGAAAACAAATCGATTATTAACGTATTAAAGTTCTAGGTCAGGAAGCTAATAGAAAGGGAACTTTTATAGAGAACAACATAAAATGAAGTTTGGCCATTATAGAGGGAAAAAAATACCGCAAAAATTTATTATACGTGATTTTCTGGGAAAAGTGTCTTCAAGCATGAAAACGAACAAACTTTATTTCATTCGAAACGATACGATCAGTTCGAAACTATAGTCAAAAATAGAAATCCATTGTAAATTAAACTTACTTCGAACTGATAGAAATATTGGGATTTAAATTGATCGAGAGTAAAAAACGAGAATGTTTGTAAAAAAAAAGATCAGTCTCGAAAATTTGATTTTCGTAAATCCTTCAAATCCCGAGTAAATAAACCTTTTTCCCTTATCTATACGCGTATAAAGCCCTTGGGATGAGTTTTTGCATACAACTCGACCTCGGTAAGAGGTTCCCGTTGAAACGAACCACGCGCACGGTCCAGATTTTTATTTCCCGAGAAAAACAAAGAGCACAATTTTTTTATTTTCTCAAACAAAAAGGGCACATTCATACATAAAACATTATACCTATACCAATGTAAACCAATGTAATGTTGTAAAATACTCATAATGTAGATACTGTTAACAAACCAAGCTGGAATTTTAAAAGGTTGGATGTATAACATGTACTGCCTGGTAATTACTCCATTATCTAATATAAGATAATATTAAAGTGTATTGTGTACTTATAATTATTAGCTTAAAATAAACAAGCAAATTTCCCTGCATGAATAATGGTATAAAAGCCCATATAAGCATTGTAAGAGTCGATAATCATCACGAAATATGGTTATTCGTCATTGTACTACACAGAAATTAACGTACAAAAGCTAAATGTACTGATCGAATTATCAGACAACCGAACATTGTAGGGGTATATACAAAAAAAAAATAATAAAATAATTAAAATAATAACTACACAAAAATTAGATGTTATCATGCAAAGTGTCCACAAAAAAACCTTCCCTACTTCCATACAGTACCTATAATTAAAAATTCCTGCAAATCCACGTAACAATCCCGGTTCTAATATATTTTTTAAAACATTTTCCCTAAAAAATTAATTTCTCTAGCAAAGTTTTAACCGAAACAAAAATGGACCCCGGCAAAATGGATACACTCGCGAAACATTATCAATTCTTTTTTGCGCCCGGCTAAAAGCAGCAAAAAGTTATAATAAGCTTATGTTAAGCTCGTTAATATGTTTGCGTCACTTTTGTAAAGTCGCTGTCG